GATATTCTGGATACTATTATTTTACTTGCGGTATTATAGGAGAATTTACGGTAACTCACGGTAGACTGTAGCTTCAGAATATTGGTTGAGGCTCATACTCGCATACATGTTTTGTCCTTAGGTGATAGATTTCCAAATATCAGCAAGATGAATATTTTCAAAATTATATAATTGGAGCTAAAGTCCAGCAGAATTTTAAACTATGATGGGTCAATAGTACAACTTTCTAAACCCATTTTTGCAACTATGCTGATGGCGCAATTTATGTAAACATCAAAATTCATTCTCTACCGGTATAAACAGTATAGCCAAATCCATTTCTACCGGTATACCGTCTATACCAGTTATACTGCCCACCCCTAATTGATTTGAGACAGAATCAAGTGGCTCATTCACGGATCAAATTGCATCGAGTGATTTTTCCCATCACTTGAAATTGCACAACTAATTGCAACAAGTCACATGAGTTCACAGCTAAATAACTCCTGAAACATTATTCTTATGGTTAATATAAAGGCTGGTGGTCAAACTCAGGGGTCCGGGCCTCAGCAACTCCATCTGCAACTGGGTCCTGGACTTCCTGACAGGCAGACCCCAAGTGGTGACGATTGGAAACAAAACCTCATCCCCTCTGATCCTCAACACAGGGGCTACCCAGGGCTCCTGCCTGAGCCCACGGCTGTATTCTCTATTTACACATGACTGTGTGGCTAGATGTAACAGCAACCCTATCACTTTACATCAGCAAAACAAAAGAGTTGTCAGCACCTTCAGGTTCTTCAGATCTCCAGACCTGTGAGAGGCTGAGCTGGTCGGAGAACACTGCTGCCATTCTCACTTAAGCCCATCAGTGCCTTCACTTCCTGACACAGTTAAGGAAATGGGGGATGAGCAAGACAACACTCACCAATTTTTACTATAATACAATTGAGAGTGTCCTGACCGGTGGTATTACGGTGTGGTATGGTGGAGCCACAGTACTGGACAGAAAAGCAATACAGAGGGTTGTGAGGTCCACGCAGAATATCACTAGGACCGAGCTACCCTCCGTTGACCGGATATATCTCGACAGCTGCCAAAACTGGGCACGAATTATACTTCAGGACCCAATTCACCCTGGCCACAATCTATTTTCACACCTGGGTTCTGGTAAAAGGTATCGCAGTATCAGAACACTGACAAATAGATTCAAGAAAGATTCTTCCCCCAAGCTCTCCACATCTTAAACAGCTCAAACTAGCACCTGCAGAAGTTAGCACCTGCACTTTAAGGTACTGCACTGTTTGCACTATGTCTTGTCTTGGGTGTATTATAATGTCTATCGTCTAAATTTATTGTCCATGTCTGTTTGTCATTTGTGTCTATTCTTTTTCTCTAATGTTACTGGGTACAGTTGAATGAGTAAGCATTCCAATACACTTGCTGTATATGACAAATAAAGAAATCTTGAATTTTGAATCCAGCTGGCATCAGTTGCATCCAAATGGCATCCAAATTGACTGAACATGATTGGCTTCCTCCAGTTTATAAACTTAAAACTCTGATATACACTATGTGACTGGAGACTCCATTTCCAGATCACCTGGCACTCCTGAGGTATCCACATGAACACATACACATACATACGTAAACATTTCACTATCAAAACAAAGGTGATAACACTGGTTTCCAACATAAACAAACTAGTCTGGAATTATGGGGATAGCTTAGTTTGCTCTGTGGATGCACACACTGAGTAAATTAATCATTAACTCAAACTAAACACCTGTTTTCCTTTGTTTTAGAAGTGAAATGAACCAAATTGGTGATCAACTCACATGTTTCAAATAAATAAGCTGTTTGGATTTCTGACCGGCAAAAATGGTTTCTCCCGCAAACCTGTAGGACCCAAATTTTCTTAAACAACAGTTATGTACATAAAAGGAGTATGATATTTTAGTTTTGGTAATAATATGTTTGTTGTTTAATTGTGTATTTAATGAAGAAATGTTTATATCAGAATTCGGATTATTATTTTGTCAAATTATTTTGTGTGCTTTATAGTGGAATATTCTAGGGGAAGAAGTTTAAGCTAGAAAGGAGCTCTTCAAGAGAGGAGGGGGAGATAGGAGAAAGTGGATTGTGGGGGTAGAATAGGATCTGTTTACAACAATCTATTTTTTGTATAGTAATTAATGTATATATTATTGTACTATAGGTTTGTGTTGTTTTCTTTTTTCCTGGTTAGTTTGTGGTTTTCACTTTTTCACTCGTAATAAAACACCATTGCACATCTTTGCAACTGTGGCTGTGCCATGATTGTGTTATATTCTACCTATGCCTCTAAACTCTGCAAGGAGGAGACTGTGACACACTACATGTTGACTTTTTCAGTAATTGATGTTTAGGTTCGTTCACATGGCTCTAACTGTATACCACAAAAGCCTTGTGATAACCAAAACTGCTGTAACAACATTTGCTAGCAAGGCTCTATCCCACCCATGTGGGGGGAGGGGGGCTACAGAAGATGTTGAGTGGACTGAAAATGATAAATTGCCCAATGTTTATAAATTATAAACATTCAATGATGTGTCATAATTCTGAAATTTCATAGTCTTCATGTACTCTAGCTAGGTACATGATGAATATGTACAGTACATAAACACATTTCCAATCAGTGAATGTGACTAAACATTACAAAATGAAGAGTTCTTACTTTCCTCGTGTTTTTGCTCAAAATGACAAAGTCATCCCCTTGGTCTCCTATATTGAGGTATTGCAAAATTTGCACTCTGCAGTATCTTTTTTTTCAGTGTCTTTTTGCAGAATAACACTTTGTGGTTCACATACTGTATCTGAATTGAATGATCGACGATATAGATGACATTTCTGGCATAATGATGTGTAGTCTACTGTGTAGTGTGCTCTCTGAAGGCACCAGTTCTGTAGGGTTTGGGCATTTACTGGGACAATTATTAATTGTAGCAGTAAATCACAAAATTGATTCTTTTGATGGCTTTAGAATCCAACCATGCGACATAACTCAAACAACGCACACACACAGGTACTAATACACGAGGATACATTTATT